TGTCCTAGCGAGCAAATATCCTAGCGAGCAAGTGTCCTAGCGAGCAACTGTCCGCGCGCAACTGTCCGACGAGCAAGTGTCCTGTGAGCAACTGTCCGTTTCCCATCTTTTTTAATTAAAAAAACATTCATTTTAGTCTGAAATCAATTGGAATTTATATCGTGGTCTTAATGAAATAAAATAAAAATACAAAAAATGTCGTATTATACTTAAATACAGTTTTTTTTAATTGCATGATAAGTGCCGAATAATATTAGTAAGTTTTTGTTTCACTATATGATGACTTATTTATTCATATTTTAGGCAGCTGCTAATTACAATCCTTATTCATTTCAAGTTATTGATGATGAATATATCAATCAAAATGGGTATGTCTCTTTATTCATTCTTGTATAAGTAGCTTTAAAAGTTTTTTAGACAATTAAAAGATCATGGTATTCCTCGTTTACTAAAATTTATTGGCCGATGAATTAATAGTTATTTAAAAGAAATTGATGGTGCTACAGTACAACAACAACAAGTACATCTTCAACAACAAAATCCTTATAATAATAATGATCGTGGTCAGTTTTATCAACAACAAAGCCCTTTTAATAATTATGGTCGTGGTCCACGACTAGGGGTGTCAACTTTGCGTCCCGTTCCTGGGAACGCGGAACGCTACCCCGTTCCCGTTCCTGAGAACGGGGAACGCTACCCCGTTCCTCAGCGTTCCGTTCCTAGAAACTGGAACGCAACATACGTTTCTTTCACTTTTAACAGAAATTTTACTAATTCACCGAAGGGAAGCCAATTTCATAAAAATTAGGGATGTCAATGTGCCCCGTTCCTCAGCATTCCGTTCCTAGGAACGGGGAACGCTACCCCGTTCCTGGGAATGGGGAACGCTACCCCGTTCCTGGGAATGGGGAACGCTACCCCGTTCCCCGTTCTCAGGAACGGGGAACGCTGAACACTCAAACATAAAAAGAAAAGTGAATATGTCTAGAGACCTCGCCATGTTGAAATATAGCGTGGAAATGCGATTTTGACAAGCGTTCCCGTTCCTAGGAACGGAATGCTGAGGAACGGGGAACGCTGACACCCCTAATTGACCACGAGTCGTGGTCAATCCAGCAATGGACAATAGGACTAATCGATGAAGAAATTGTTCCCATTTATGCAGAAACGGTTCACCCCACATAAAATCATACATGTTAAGAAGAAATCGAAAACAAATATATATATATATATAAATATCTATCATTCATTCTTCTTAATGGTATATTTGATTCAAGCAGAAATCGTTCTTTTATACAGGGAAATGCTTTAATAAGAAGAAATAAAAAAAACGAATACATATATCTATCATTCATTGTTCTTGATGGTATATTCAATTCAAGTAGAAATTGTTCTTTAATAAAGAGAAATGCTTTAAGAAGGAGAAATGAAAAAAATGAATATGTATGTCGTGCCAAAGTTGTAACTTCGACGGCTCGAAGAGACTTTGTTCAAAACTTGTGAATTTTTTTTATAGAAACTAGTCTAGTTGAGTTCTCTATATGTGCAAAGTTTGAGATCAACATTCAAAAATACGAGTCTTCCCAAAATCTGGGGCCTGTAGAAAAAATTTCGATAGGAACCCAAATCATATTAGGAATTTTAATGTAGTATCTAAAGTAAAAAAAAGTCATTGAAATCGTAATGGGAGCATCGGAGAGATTCCCTAGTAAGTTTCAAATCAAATAGTCACTCTTTTTGAGAAATAAAAACTATACACTAGCATTGAGATTTGATACTGATTAAAAGCAAAAAAAAGTACTATAATGTATTTTAGAAATAGTTAAAAATGAAAAATATCATACAACTACATATTCAATATCTCCATTGATTAGTGAATTAGAAAATACTATGAAAAAAAAATGTTGTGTATGTGATTATGAATATCCAATAATATGTAATGAAACTGAAATACATAATCACGTTAAAAATTGTTTATCGACAGTAAATCTTGATAATCTTCATGTTTCTGACGAACGAATACAATTGGATTGTCCATTTTGTGATAAAAAATTATTAAACAATGGTGATATTACTGATCTTGAACATTTAACAATGTGTTGTAGTCAATTGTATGTCTAATTTTAGATTGAAACCAAATAAAGATTCGTTATTTTTATACTAAGATTTATAAACCAGATGAATATAATTGTTCTTTGTGATATGTATATATATATATATATATATGATTTCTTGTTTACGTTTTTTTTGCTGAATTGAATTTTAATAATATAGAAATTCGTCTAATAGGCTTCGATTTTATTGATCTACTTTCTTCATGCAAACAGATCATCGTATTGCAATATTTTTGTATATGTGTTCATTTGTTTAAGGTAAATCATTTATTGTTGAATCGATCTATCCTTAAATATACAAAGGAAATATAGAAGTTAAAAGGATCAAAGAAACTTTGAGATAAACAAAATCAAATAAATTGTGATTAATTAAACAATCTTTATCAACTTTTACGGAATCTTCTCATTCTTTTGTTTATGTATGTCATAAGTATTACTATTATTGCATTTTTTTTTAGAAATATCATGAGGCCGTTTATTTATAGATTAATAGTAGAAAGTTGAGATTGAAATCCTTTTGAATATGATTCCAGTTTTTTTTTCTAAACTAATCTCTGAAATATATTCATAATAAATATTTTATCGACACGATGATATAATATGTAACTACACAATTCTTTGATCATTATAATTTGATAATTAATATTTACTGGAAAATAAATGTGTCAGGTTATATCGTCATGACTATTCTAATGTTTTTAAGTGCACAAATCATCAAAGTTTTTCTTTTTTTATCACATAAGAGTTTTGATTCAGTACCAACCATAAATAAAAACAGAAGTATTTATCCTTAATGAAGAAAAAAATGAAAATTAAAGTAAACATTATCGTTCATAAATAGAACGAAGTTATTTTATTTTCAACTAATAAATATAAACTATTCGTAGCATCAACGAAATTTTCTATAAATAATAAATTCATTGTTCTAATAAAAGAAAATAATAATAAACATTTTTTTTTTCTTTCTTCAGAGTTATATTCAAGTGATGAAGAACAACTGTTTATCAGCTGTTTTTAATTCAGTTATTTTCTTTTGCATGACAACGTTTCCCTTCCGAAAAGAAAAGCAAGTGTCAAATGTCATGAATAATAAACATATTTGTCTTTATATCTACGTAATTTGACTATTTGGTTGAAACTGAAAAATTTATTGATGAACATTCTAAAATGAAACGAACTGCATTGAGTTTTAAGTGAACTAGTAAAACGTATAGAGAGAAAATTCGTTTCTTTTTCTTTGTTTTATTTATTTCTTTTTTTTTTTTTTTTTTTTTTGAAACTTCTAATTTCATTTATTTTGTATTGCCTCACGTACATACATCCATTAGATTCGAATTACTCTCAACGATACCGAAGTAACGACGACAATGGTACAATGTTAAGTAAAATACATCAAGGTAAAAATATGGTGACAAGTGTAATCATTTGTTTTTTTTGCACATTGTATGACGATTTTTGTAAAAAGACGACGAAGAAGAAGAAGATTGACACGAAACAATCAAACTTTTATTTCTTTCATATACATATAAACACAAACATTACATACATACATACAAATAGCAATCCAATAAAGTGTCTGTTTCTTATAATACGTATTCATGAACTATGGCACTACGATTCGGTATGTATTTATATTGAATTAAAAGTAGGAAGTTCAATTTGATGATTCATATTTCATAGTGACTTTGCATATTTACTATTTATCTAATAAAAATTTCCTTATTCTTTTTCTTTTCTTTTTTTTTTTTATTGAATTAATTAAATTGTATTTGTATGAAGGTGTTTATAATGATGTGAAAATGTAAAGAAGAAATTTATAAGAAAACAATAGCCAATGAATAACAGTCACGTCCTGAGCGAGCACATGCACGTCTCTGCGAACGAGAGTCGCGTTGATTATTTCAAAAATAAAAAAAAATAGAATGGAAGAATAGACATAAAACGAAGAGAAGAATGAATGTATGTATAGAACAATACAGCTTGTTGTTGTTCTTTTCGCGTCGTCATTGCTTACTGCTATTATTAAATAATGAAAAAAGGGCAAACGACAGTGGAATTGATACAATATTTTTCAATGAGTATTGTTTAAAACTTTCGTTTGATTTTATTGTTTGTTTTTGTTTTTTTTTTGTCCCCTCCCTTCTTCTTCTATGTTTTTTTTTTCTCACTTTCATCATTAGTACACACTATCCTCTTGAAAACATTGTTACATGTTTGTATTCTATACTTATTAGTTTTTTTTTATTAGTGACTAATTGATCTTATTTCTATTAATTAATACTAAAATATTGTTATGCAAAAATGCTGTAAGTATTAATCAAAAATCTTTACAGCTTATCTCCTAACCTAACTTCTATTTTAACATAGCTGATTAATTGTGTCTTGCTCAACAACAAAAAAAAAAAAAAAAAAAAAAATCAGAGAAAATTGAAAGGTTTCTTTTTTTGAAAAATAGAGATAGAAAAGATATACTATTTCGTCGCTGCCAACCGCCTGCTGACATCATCAATAAATACGTTTGTCTACTATTCGTTTGTTTTTCTTTTCTATCTTGTCTAGTAAATTAACTCAACCCCATATTTCCATAAACAATATGTTTCCACCGATCAATGCTCATCCGAGACCTCCATCAGAAGATTTACATGGTGTTAGCAGCGGTGCGGTAGCAGACATTCATTCGACTTCAAAACAACCACAACAAATTCGACGACCACATTTAACAATGGATCAGCAGCGACGAAGTCCATTGCGAAGTAATTCGTTGCTGACAACAGCAACAACAAATAGATATATTATGGCATCAATTGCTGTTGTTGTTTCAATGTCTTTATCTTTTATATTTTATGGCAAAATGAATTTTTAGTATAATTAAACGTGAACTAGATAATTTAAGAAAAGAAAACAGCAACAGCAGTTCTTCCTTAATACATCTATCAATGATCTATTTTGCTTTTATTACAACTAATTAAAGCATGTTCTTGACTAATACTATACCACAAAAATAATCTATATATTTTAGGAAAATAAAAAAAAAATAATTTATTTTTTATTTTTATAATTTTAGTTATTTATCGTTCAAGTGATTATTCTTGGAATGATCATACAAATAATGCAAATGTTTCTAATCAATTATTACGTACTACTAGTCCAATAAAAACAAAATTATCAACATCATCAGCTCGTCAATTAGCTAATGGAATTTTACATGAAACTACAAATAATTCAAATATACATCCTATAACATCATCATCATCACCAATAGGTCATCAACAAAATTTAAAAGATGATGTAAATAATAGTGATTTACATTTATCATCAGCAACAAAATCCCTTCGTACAACACGACTTCAACGTACAAATAGCCATTTAGATAAACCTCCTGGATTAAATAATTATGGTTTACCAATACGAAGTGAAAGTTATCGTTCATCTCGTCTTGATTATGGTATACGTTCACGTCATACATCATCAAAACAACGAACTTATGTTAATTCTAAAACATCATTTCATGATGCAAATCCTGGTGATATGCATTTAAATGGTACACAACAAGATGAAAATACATATTATCATCAACAACAACAACAACAGATGAATATAATGAGTAGTACACAACGTTTAAATGGTTCAACATTTGATGTAACTACTACTAATCGTAAATTACTTTCACCAAATAAATCTAATACATTTAATTATCCAAATAATAGTACAGCTCATCATAATAATTATAATTCAACACAAGAACTTCATCGTAGTGAAACAAATATTGATCGAAATAATTTAACACGATTTGCTGCACGTGGTACAACATCAAAAGAACAACTTATAACAGCAACACAAAAATATCGACAAACATCAAGTATACCAACAGCAGGTATAACACCATCAAATACATCAACTATTATACAATTAGGTGAAAGACATCCATCAGCTCAATCATATAAATCTCGTGATCCAAATATATCATATGCATATACAGATGTTAAAAAATATATTGAAGAAAATGATTTAATGTCATCAGAAAAAGAACAAATTATACGAAACTGGATTATTGATGTTGAAAAATATCGACATCAATTACAAAAAATCGAGTGAACATAGTTTATTTATTTATTTATTTTACTTCTTTTTTTTTTTTATAAAAATCCAGTTTTGTTTTAGCCCATCGAGTCTTTCGTGTGACGTTAATTTTTTTTTTTCTTTTTTTTTTTATTAATTATATGCGTATATATAAATACAATAAAAGAAGTTTTGTTTTTTTTTTTCGATTGAAATGATTGGGATTTAATTATTTCGATCGGTCGATCGATCGAGAATAGAAAGAGCTAAGACACGTCAAATAGTCGTGTCTATTCTTCTTCCCGACTCGTTGAGAATAGCAATTAATTTAACATAACTATCATTGTCGTTCGTAAGTTTGTGTATGTATAGATGTATATGTGGACATTGGTATCTACTTTTTCTTTTTTTTTTTTTTCTTCTTTTCGTGTCGCTTTTTCGATCCTCAAGTAAATATTAACTGTCTTATACGTCGCGCCTCAATATCAGTTACTATTACAATAGCAAAAATCATTCGACAATCGTAAGAATGATGATTCGACTCATTGTATTTCTTATATTTATGGTTATACGTATTCAAGCTGTTGTCGATCCTGTTGTAACAAATGTTGATCCAAAACATGAATTACTTACGGAAATAGCTGGCAGGTATGTAGAGAAACAAAAAAGATTTATCTAATGAATTAAATACCCTTTATAATCAATATTAAAATTTTTTTTTTTTGGTATGTTTATTTTCAACATATCTTCTCCGATTTCATAGAAATATACATATTTATATGTATTATTGTCAATGACTAATCATTCAAAAAAAAGAAAAAAGAAAGTTAAACATACATAGTTTTACTATTCTCATTTTCTTTTGTTCGATGAAATTTATTTAAAATATGTATAGAATTTTATACAAAGGACAACATACATGAACTTGAACAATATCAAATTGTGTCATTTAAAGAATGACTCTCTGAATACTATTTATGAAAATAGTACTTGATTTATTTGTTCAGATTATTTTAGAAATGTCTTCTAAATTAGAGAGAAGTGTGGGATTATGAACATTGAAAAGAGAGGAGATGAAGATGCATCAAACCATGTACGAAAAGATTCTTTTGACTACTTTCCTAAGAGTTTTAGTTAGATTTTCTTCAAGAATTACCTTTTTTTCTCATATGTTAAAAAAAAGGGAATTTTTCATCAAAATAGAACAAAAACATATATCTTTCGATTGTTTTCTTGGAAGAATAACGTGATAACTTGCACGTCAATAGCAAGGAATAGAATCTTTATGCAGTTTTATAGTTCTTCGATTGGCGGTTCTAGTGCACCCTTAAAAATAATAAAGTCAATAATGCGACCACAGCTGACATGTTAGTTTTCTAGAAAGTTCACATAAGACTCTTAGAGAAATATTCCGAAAAATCTTTTCGTACATGATTCGATGCATCTTCATTTCCTCTTTCCAACGGTAAAAACCGTAGCTCTCTATGGCATTTCCTTCAAAAGTTATTCAAAAAAGAAACAATTTCCATTCGACTTTTTTGTTTTGAAATGGGCAATACTTTAAGTATTGCAGATGGTAGAGAATGATTAACAACTTTAATTTCATTACGAATAAATTTATATGTCAAATTTATTTCTTCTCTGTACAATATTTTATAGTATGCTACTTTGTATGTAAAAATACTGTTATATATAATGATGAATATAAATATCAAACATTGACACTGTGTGAATAATAAAGTAATAAGAAAATTTCTACAATCTCCTCGTATAATATTTTCAAGTCATTTTAGAATCTTATTTAGACTATGAAGTAAGAAAAATTATTGCCCCATGGTCCAGACTACATGTGGGGAATTGAATGCAGAGATGTTCATGGCGGCGTGGCAAGTTTTGAATATTGAAATGAATAGTTTTTGAATTGTATAAGTAATTTGGAGATATAGATGATATTGGTGCAAGTTACGATTTGGCTAAGATATCGACTTTTTACTATAATTCTCCTGTAGGACTCTATTTTTCCGGTAAATTTGGTCCGAATCTTTGCCCACACGAAGGTCTCTATCAGATTAGTTTGCCAACAGAGTTTCAGAACTTTTGGACAAATCGTCTCTGAGATATGAATTTTTCAAAATATTCATGTATAACACAATATGCCTACAAAAGTATCTTTATGCTAATATACTCATACCTCAGAAATGATTTGTACAAAAATTCTGAAACTTTGTAGGCAAACCAGTCTGGTAGAGACCTTCATGTAGGCAAAGTTTCAGGCAAAATTTACCCGAAAAATTGGATCTTACAGGAGCATTATAGTAAAAAGTCAATATCTCAGCAACTTGCGCTAATATCATCTTAGGATTTTTCTAGTCTATACATCGCCTACTTGTGAATGAAAACTTATTTTTTAGCACCTTGGGAGGTTTCCTCATCAGATCCATTTTGTTTTCTATACCTTTGCTAGAAATAATACTTCAAAGAATTTAAGAACACCCATTAAAAATAGAATTTCAAACATCATCATATGTTGATTAATTATATCGTTGCAATTGTTATCTATTTGTCTATAAAAAAAACTAATATTTATTGAAAATTTCTATTCAATATAAAATATTATTTAGATATCGCTTAGCAGCTCGACATTTACGTGAAACTCAATCAACATTACCATTTGAATTACAATTTCCTGTTCATGATATAATTAAAGTTGATGGTGCAACAAATGAACTTGTTATTCGTGCAACAATTCGTTTAGATTATCAATTTGAATTTCTTCATTGGGATGCTAATGATACACGTAGTCGTTATCATGATATTGATGAAATTATTTTAACAAAATCAACATTACAATCACTTTGGTTACCAGATTTAAGATTTATTGAAGAAGATTCAATTTCATTTAATATTGAACGTGAATCAGCTAAAATAAATCGTGATGGTCTTGTTACATGGATACGTCGTGGTTTATTAACAATAGCATCACCTATTGATTTAACTTATTATCCATTTGATCGTCAATATTTTCATATAAATATGCAAAATATACAAAAAACATTTAAATTACATTATCAAAAAAATATTCATAGTTTATCATCAATAACAAATTCTCATTTAGCACGTTCAGCAAGTGTATGGACAACATTATTTGGTAATACAGAATTAAATACAAATATAACAAATATACCAATAAATATTCAACAAAATGATCAACCTATTAAAACAAGTACATCACGTGGTTGGTTTGTACGAACAATAAATATTGAACCAAAAATAAATTTAAATGATAATGGAAGTTTAGATAATATAACAATATATTTATCAATTCAACGTCGTCGTGAATCATATATATATACAATTATATTACCAACATTATTTTTTTCATTTTTTATTTTTATTTTTTATTTTTCACCTGTTGAAGCACATCAACGTTTAATTATTGGTTTATTAAATACATTTGCAACATTAATTTTTCTTATTTATATTGATCAAAAAATTTTAGCTGAACAATTATCACATAGTCCATTATTAATACAATATTTAATAATATTATTTATGATTGAATCATTATCATTATTTTTTGATCATATTATACATTCAATATTTTATGGTGGAATTAATTTTGTATCAAATTGGTTACGTAAAAGACATAAATATGATACACAACAACAACAACCAGCACGTTTATCACGTGTAACTATGTTAACACGTGCATTAAATAATCGTTTAAATCCGAATAGTTTAGAAAATGATGGACAATTAAATGGTCCAACAGATATATTAATGAAACAATTAATTGAACGTGAAGAATCATTAAAATTTGAAGATCAAGAACGTTATCAATGGCGTAAACGTGCACGACTTAGTGAATGTTTATGTTGTTGGTTTTTCTTAGCTATTGTTATTGCAGCTGCTATATGCGTTTTTCTTATTGTACCATCATTGGGTTTGAAAAAATAATTTTAAAAAGAAAATGAGAACATTTTTAAAAACTACGATTTCATTTTTATTTGTAAGTTTAATTGGAATAATAAATATATCGAGAATGGGTCTTTTACCATTATGTATAAAAAAATTTTCTTTTTTTTAATATTGATCTATTCAATTCATTCAAATTACACAACTCTAATATTAGTTTGCAAGAGCAAGTTTTGATTGTGAGAAGGGGCTTACATGATCGATCGGTGGAGGACTTTGTAATAGAATTCAGATGGTGAGATTTCGATCGATGGAAGGAGATTGAAAGGTTCGATTCGGATAGAGCCTATCGAGGTGGGTTCGAGTCCAAAAATTTTGGAGCTAACGAGCTCTAAATAGAGGTGTCAGTCTTCCTAGTCCTCTTCCTTTGGTTGAGTCACTATTTAATACTGAAACAGAGAGTCAAAAAAACAAAAGTAAAAATTGTGCGTGCTCAAAACATATTTAAAAAAGAATGTTAACGTTAATTGCCTGTGATATCTTTTTCTCTATACTCAATTCTTTACTCTAGAGTAAGTTGGAGTTTCTATCTTTTGGGAAATAAAATTCTGCGCCGGTATAGTTGAATCTTTCTCAGAGAAATTGCATCTATTGTCCGAACAATCAAAAGTACCACTTAGAATTTTACTTTTTTTTAATTTCATGATAATCTGTTGTTTTGTTTTTATATACTATAGACTGATATGGATTGGTCATATATTTATTATTATAATCCTATAGTGGTCCTCTACCTATATTGTATATCTCAGATTTTTATCGTCGTGTATATGTGTATATATAATTTCAACTGTAGTGCTTTTCAGTATTTGATTTTCATTTACACATTACACTTTGTTTTACATATTTTTTTTATCGTACGTATACCTGACACTGTGTACCAAGATAAGCCGAGATAACTTATTATGTTATGCTTTCTTTCTTGTATTATGATATATAGAACTCATCTGAAGGTATAGTGGCTATGGTCTCTCTACAGGAACAGGTCAACTCTATATGTCATAATACAAGAAAGAAAACATAATATAAAAAGTTATCCCGGCATATATTAGTACACAGTGTCAGGTATACGTACGATAAAAAAAAATATGTGAAACAAAGTGTAATGTGTAAATGAAAATCAAATGCTGAAAAGCACTACAGTTGAAATTATATATACACATATACACGATGATAAAAATCTGAGATATACAATATAGGTAGAGGACCACTATAAGATTATAATAATAAATATATGACCAATCCATATCAGTCTATAGTATATAAAAACAAAACAACACATTATCATGAAATTAAAAAAAAGTAAAAATCTAAGTGGTACTTTTGATTGTTCGGACAATAGTAGTAACAGACATTTTTGATATATTCATAAGAAAAGTATGTTTCATTGATGAATCTTCATACTTCATGGACTCCTGAAATCAAGTATTAAATAAAAATATTAGATTTTAATATTTCTTTTAGAAAAAGTTACATTGAAAAACATCCTTGTTTTTTCTTATTCACTTAGTAGGTTTTTCGAATGCTGAAAAATTGAATAAAGTTTAATCTTCTATTTCATCATTATTACTAATATTTTTTTTTCATTCTTCTTTCTTGAAATACTACTAATTCTACGAAGACATTTTTAGATCTTGATATTTTAATAAATTGAAGATAAAGTATAGAATTGCTATGAAATACATTTTGAAATTTTTCAAATTTCAATATTTATTTTATTTCAAACTTTCGGTGAATATCTTTCACCATCATCAAGAAACAATATAATAAATAGAGAGAATTTTAACGTTTTTATAGAGAAGAAAGGTAACAATACAACAAAAGAAAAAAAGAAGAGATAAAAGAATATATGTAGAAGATTTTAATTATTGTAATTAAATTATATTCGATTATAATTTAATTACAATAGGGTGTGGATGTGGAAGTTGGTTCTTCATTCTCATCAACAGCAACATCCACACCTCACACCGGTATCCCACGTCCTCATCTCTTTATTACTTAAGTTGATTAAAACAACTTCGATACGACATATATATTTCTTTCTTTCCTTTATTCACTGGCTTGATCTCTATAAAGCGATTTCCTATTCTGCTATTATATTAATAACACATATCATGCGTATGTATATGACTTCTTTTCTTTATCATCAAGTATATTCCAAAGCGTTCTCTCCTATTGATATTGTTAAAAAATTTCCCCCTTCGTTCTTTTTTTCAACTAGGTTTGGTTTTTCCTTCTTCATTATTATATATAGTCACCATTTTGAAAAATAGAAGAATAGTTCATTATCAATCAATTACATTGAAACTCTCGAGTAGTGTCAAATTTGAAACTTAAATTCGATTATTGAAGGATTCAACTTTTCATCTTTCGCGGCACCCGCTTCGAGCGAGTTGTATGTATCTCTCTTTCGAGAATACGGCGACACATGATCGATTGAATAATTGAAGTGATAGTTAAATACTAGAAATTCATGTATCAGGTATTCAGTTATTGAATTCAAGTTTCAATTTTGACATATATGAAACTTCCACTAACAGATGTTTTAAATGTTCGATTCTTCATTTTCATTCATAATATAACATTGAGAGAATACTATTCACTAGAAAACCAATGATTTGCATCTACAGAAGTATGTTTCCTGCAAATGAATATCATTTGTTTTTGTAGTTATATATTTAATAACAAAAAAAAAGAAGAAGTGAACAGATCATGTATTTATTATAGGACAGAGATGCTGTCTTACAATACATAAGAAATGCTAGAATATTAATATGTTGAATGTAAGTTAGAAATTCTAGAATAAATATTAAATGAGGGTGATATGTATCGATTGTTGATAGTCACAAAGAATATTTATTCATTAAGATCTATTAGTTTAATTTGCACCTTTTGAGAGTGAAGTGAATGTCGTATGCATTTTGCTATCTGTTAAAATAAAAGCATTACAGTGATGACCTTGTTGTGCATATATTGGATCTTTCATCAATAAGCGATGAGCACTAGCTAACCGAAAAAACGGAATCTTTGCATACAAGTGATGTACTACATGATAACCATCTCCGTGCGGATGAATAAAGTACTCATTGAACCATCCTAAATTATTTCTTGTTGATTGAAATGGATTAGTACAACCAAGAGAAGCATGTTCGGATATTTCACCAATGTAACGAATAATTGTTAAAAATGTTAAAAATGGAACAAACCAATAGATAATGAGAGGTGTTAATAAATCGTATAAAGCAAATATTAGTATAATACTCCACCAAAAACTAATACGTAAGAAAAAATGACTTAACTTTTCATTTTTTGGAATGAAAAATGCTGGAATTACAGAATTAACATATGGGACAAAACTTCTAATTAAAATATACATCAACTGTTTAAATGATTTGGCCGACAATTGATCAACTCCAATATCTTGATAGCGTTGAAAATCAAGATCTAATCCATGTTCCCAAAAGTGTTTATGATGTCCAACTATATGTGATTGTCGTTCAGTAATAAGATTGTGACCAAGTGGTAAAGCAGCGAATATCCATCCTATTATATCATTTGCCAATATATTTCGGGTAAGATTCATATGTGTTGCTTCATGTATTAAACATTCTAATCCTCGTTGTCTAGATGCTATAATAAAACATGCTATAATGTATGCAAATATAGTATAAGTAGTAACACCATATTGATGAAAAGCTATCCACGATAATGTAGCAAGTTTAATAATAATGCCCCAATCACATATAAGAGCCAATAATGTATAGATAATATTAGTTTTCATTAATGCTTTGATCTGTGCTTGTATTTGTGGATCTTTAGGTAAAAATCCATTTCTTGGTGTAACTTGATTGTTAGAAGATTGACGAGATGATGATTTGCTTTGTATATCATCCACTATTGATACGTTTTTCTTTTCTTTCATATGATTTATTAAAATGCCCAATATCATAGTTACTAAATAAAGCTAAAAGAATTTATCAAATAATATTTCAGTAAAGTGTGCTTATTGGCTCTATTTATAGTAGGATTGCGTATGAAAGAGCACTATTATGTCAATAGAACAAGTTTTGCCAATTTGACTCATTTTTGTGGCATCATATGCGTCATTTGTTGAGAACTATATTCAGCTACTAGTCTTAGGCAAACATTTAATCGGAACTAACTGAAATAGCGCAGTGTCTTCCGACGATACTCGGTTATTTCCTCGGTTGTTTCAGTCAGTGCTGATTAAATGTTTGCTTAGAACTGGCAGCTGGATATAGTTCTCAATAAATGACGCATATGATGCCACAAAAATGAGTCAAATCGGCAAGGAAGGGGTGTGGCTGTGGCTGTGGCTGTGGGTCAATGTGGATGTGGATGTGGATGTAGGTAGATGTGGGTGGGTGTGGGGTGTGGCTATAGGTGTGAATGTGGGTGTGGGATGTGGCTGTGGGTACAGCGGTGGGTGTGACTGTGGAGAGTATGGGATGTAGGTATGAGTTATGGGTGTGTGGATGTGGGGTGGGGTATGGATGTGGGGTGTAGGTATGGATTATGGGTGTGTGAATGTGGGGTGAGGTATACATGTGTCTGAGTGGGTGTGGGGCGTGAACGTGGATGTGGGTAGGTGTGGGTGAGTGTGGGATGTGGCTGTGAGTATGGATGTGTCTGGGTGTGAGATGTGGCTGTGAGTATAGCGGTGGGTGTGGGTATAGTGATGGATGTGGGTGTAGGTTACAGGTGTGTGGATGTGGGGTGGAATATGGATGGGTCTGAGTGGGTGTAGGGTGTGAGTGTGGGTGTGGATGGTTATTATGCTCCTCTCCGAAATGTAAATCGTTGAAATTTGGCGAACTGCATTTCGAAAAAGTACCATTTCAACGATTTGACTATTGGCTATCACTCATTTCGCCAGTGTCACTGTCAGTAATATGGCTATCGGCAACTTTTATGTCAACGATCGGATTTGTCAGTAAATACCTAATTTAAGTGAGTGATACAAT